GTAAACACTCGAGCATTCACGAACCTTCGAGAATATGACGTGTTACTAGCGTCACGTGACCCCCGCTGTCGTAACATTACTAAACCTACCTTAAAATAAAAACCTCAAATGTGCACTGGAAATCAGTGTGGTCCTGCAAAAGATCTCGTATCAGAAAAATGTTGTACAGCTGAATTCTCAACTAGTTCTTATCTCTAAAAGTGTTAATGGAAATAAATAATTTTAACAATTATCAGAGACAGATACTGTAGACTCATAACACTAAAAACTGGGTTTTGACACTAGGTGGGTGCAACTCAGGTAGTTCATTTTTAGCTTTGTGCTTGACTACAACTAACTATTCATAAGTATCAAGTTAATTTTCAAAATATGTGTATAGTAGAATTTTATATTAGTTGCAAGTCACGTGGCTAGATACACTGTACATACCTTAAAATTAGTGGCTTTACTGTATGCAAATTTTTCTGATACCCATGTTATCAGTGACCTAAGATCCATTTATTAATTCATTTAAAAAAGGAGCCTTCAAAAAGATTTGATAATGATTTTAAATTTTAGCAAGAAGCTTGTGAAATTACTTGCATCTATGCTTTTAAGATTTAAATCAGGTTTGTGAACTTGTTATTTTAGGTTAGAATAAGCCTTTTATAAACATTTAGTAATATTATTCATAATTCCTGTTTGGGACCAACATTATATTAAAACTTTACATTTTATATTTTATTCTAGCTGTAAAAAACTGAGAAATGGCATCACCAGAAAATAAACAAAATCATAACCTTATGACCATAGTGGAATCGGCTATAGACACATTACAGGAAAAAGGATCAACTACTGGGACCATATATGCCTATCAGGTTAGTTGCTAAAATTCATTACATTTGTATGCTTTTATTACTTTTTTAGAAACAAAAATTGGTTCAGTTGTTGCAATTAATAAGACTGTCATAAATTACTACGATTTTTCAAAAGTAATGCCATTATCATATTTTTGTAAAATACTGTTACAACAGCGGAAGTCACGTGACGCTGGTAACACATCCCTCTATTTTGTATATATAAGACCGGCGAGAAGTGACGGTATATATAATTGAATAGCAGACAGGGAGATAGAGACAGATAATCGAGTCAAGCCATAAGTAAAGTGTGTAAATCATTGTGAATTATAGCGTGTGTTTAAATTAAATTGACTGTGAAAATTCTGTGTATTGTATTGCAAAGGTGTATTGAGAAAGAATAAACTAGTTTTACTTAGGACAGGACTTATATCACTGAAGTTTCTCGGAAAGAATTTCTACGGAAAATTAACAAACGAACACAGACGTAAGAAATTAGTGTCAGAGAGTGGGACGGAAAGTAAAATAAAAAGAAGAAGAAGAAGATGGAAACGAGAGGTGGCAAATCCAACTACAGCTTAGCATATTTGATGGCAGCAATACAAGAACAGCAAAAGAAACAAGAAGAACGAGAAAAGAAACAAGAAGAGAGACAACAACAGTTGCAAGAAAACCTGCAACAGTGGCAGCTCGAACAAGCAAAATAAACAAGAAGAGAAATTACAGCAGTT